AAAGGTTTATTTCTCTCAAACCAACAAATTTAGCCAAAAACTGGAAACAGCTGCCCAGCCTTTCAGTACCTGCAACCTTGTTATTGCATTACCTCACCAGGGAATCCAAGCCATAGTGATAGAGGAAAACGATGTGAGGTTCATCTGTAAACAGGTCCAGTTGCTCACATGCACACAGTTCTTTCCCTTACAGTACGGGTACTTACAACAAGTACATTTGCTTTTGCCAACAAGAAACATGTTAGCATTGTCCTTATTTCCCTGGGAAATGCCCAATGGCAAATTCAAATCACTTTAGATTTTCCATGACCTGAGATGTAAGAAAACCATCTATCAGATACCAAATCTTTATAGCTCAGGAGAGGAAATGACAGTAGGTCCATGGCTGCTCTTGTGAGTCAAGAATGGCTCATATTAAAACATGTCAATGGAATGTTACTGTTGGAAATGATTTGCGTTATAGTAATGCTAGAGACCCAAAGACACAGTAAACCTCAACATGTCCACATAAGATGACAACAGTCGCTGCCTAAGAGAGCTTGCAATTTAAATAGGCAAAAGAGAGACATATTGAGGTAAAGTGATTTCCCTGAAGTCACACACAGAATTCATGAGACAGGAAGAGCAGCTATGTCTCCCAATTCCCATTCCAGGGTCTTAAACACCTGACCACAGAATACCCTGCTGCCTCTCCTTAAATCTGATTTCTTCCTTTTTGACCACAATCCCTCATATAAGGCTTCATTTTGACCTCTGGCACTACCTAATGTGTCTGGTTATTGTAGCAGGGGGATGGAAACATTCTATTTTAACTGAACAAGAAGAGTCACAAGAATGAACAAGCTAATTCTCCACTTCAGACTGCAAAACTGTCACTACAAAATTATCCCCTCCGTTCTGCAATACAGCTTTCAGAAATGGTAGCCTTGTTGACTCCAATGCCTTGAAGTAACAGACAGTACCTTACAGTGAGTGCTCACATGTTCATGTCTCTATTGAGGAGAGTGGCTTAGAATATACTTGGTTCATTGGCAGGGGCCAGGAAGGAGACAGCTGTTTCTTATCTGCTTGACAGCCCCCTAATGCACTTACAGGTGTCGTGCATTTAAGAAGCAGCATAGTTTCACAATGGGCCTTGGAGTTGGACTCAGAAAACCTGAGTTCTTATTATTACCTGAGTTCATACAAGGAGTCTTTTCACCTCTCTTTATTTTGGGTTTCCCATTCATCCTTTAGACTGGAAGGTCTCTGAAGCAGGGACTCCTCACAGGGTCTTGTAAGGCTTCCTAGCACCTCTGAACTACCATCTAGTGGTTCTTTCCAGGTAGTATCACTATGTAAATTAATTATATCATTCTCATTCCTGGTAGTTGCAACTCTTAGCCAAATGTTATTCCAGGGCAGGCCTCATGGTGCTAGTATCAATCATCAAAGATTGAGGGCTGGGTCAGTTAGATTTTATACCGGAACATAGGTTGACTAAAGATACCCTTAGAATCCTTTTCTCTTTCCTCTGTAGCTATGCAAAATGTACATACACAGTAGAACCCCGTTCAATTACACTTAGTCATCTTCGCAAGGAACCTGGTTAGCTTTGCCCTCCTTTGATAGTTTTATTAACAGATATTGTAGGCAGCTCTCACAACTGAGAATTCACTTTTCCAACTCACAATACTGCATGTTCATTGTATTGTGAAATAACATAAAAAAGCTAAATTACAGATGACAAAAGTAGATGAAAAATACATTCCGTGATGAGTAAGTTTTGATATTTTTGTTGCCCATTCACTAGTTTCCAAAATAGTTAAAAAATGTACTAGGCATCTGCTGAAAAATGAAAAAGTTCTGCTGCTGGTGGGGAGGGGTAACCTTGATATTAGTGGCCTGTGCTTTCTGTTTAGTAAAACATGTTACCCAGATATAAATTAATTTGAATTTACTTATTGCAAAATCTTAACTGCTTCCCTTCAGTTTCAGTTGAATAGTGGCATTTGCTTGCTGACTTGACATACTTCTGCCATATACTACTTTTAAAAACTGTTGCTGAAGTAGTTGCTACATTTAACACTACATATTAATGTATTTCACTACAAGACAAGGGGATTTCGCTGTGTATGGTTCATAGACTGTGTATATTAGTTTGTTAAATACTCTGTGATCCTTTATACTGTCATGCACTATATGAATACATGATACATATCTTCAATGACCAGAGAAAGTAAAGCACAAAAACTACTTACATACTGGATGAGAAGGAAATACAGGCATCAACAGCCTACCAGAAAATGGCTATGGTAGGGCTGCAACTGCTGGGCTCTGCTAGACTTAAAGGAACAGGCCCAGAAAGGCATGCTGGGAAAAAAAAATCTGTCAGATGCTAACAGTGCACTTGGATGAATTAGGAGGCTCCAGGAAGTCAGCAAATTAATCCATAGAGTCATAGGTGCTGACTTGTATTTTTGCCTGGGGCGGGGGCCTAAGATGAGTTGCACATGGAAAGTGTAACACATTTCAAGTGACAGCCCTCTTCCTGAGGGGGGCCAGGGCCCTCAGCCCCCGCATACTCTACACCTCTACACAGAGTAAACGGATAAAAGATTAATGAACACTTAATGAGCCCCCACAGTTAAATTGCAGAGACCCATTGTTATTACTCAATAGGTGGGATTATTGGCAAGATCAGGAGAACTCTGGAATTCATAACTGAAAGACATCTGCTCTCCAGTTAGTATTAGTTGTGGCAGGTAAACATAACAGAATTCATAGTGATGGCAGTATGGATGGTGGGACCAGTGAAGGGTTAATCCCAAAATGAGATCTACAAAAAGGAGTCTGTGCATCTATTCAGAGCCCCATATAGCCAATATAGCCATGTGCATGTGTAGAATTGGCTTGAATCATCTCCACAGGGGGTATTGTTTGGAGGAAGAATTCAGGGTAAAACATGAGGTTCCTCCTTCCATACTCTCTGAGTGGTCTGGTGGGGGTATCCTCTCCATGTTCTAACCAAGCTTCTGTAGGAACGTGCTGGGAGAAGGGCTTTCTTTCAGTCCAAACTGTAGCATCTGTCCAATAAGAAGAAGGAACCTGAAAGGGAAGGATGCCTTAACTTCCTGGCAAAAGCCAGAGAGGGAAATAGCTAATAGCAGCTCTAGAGTGAAACTGCTTATCAGTTGTGACACATGACAGGGTCCAGGCTACTGCCAGAAGGAAGTTTACAGGAACATCAGAGCCTATTTTAAGAGTTCACTGGTGGATGCTGGGCTGCTGGACACTTGGTATATCCTGAGAGTGATGAAGTTGGAGTTGTTCTCCAACAGTGAGGTTTGACCCAGGTCTAAATTTTTGAGTGTTAATACCCACAACTGGAGTCAGATTATCAGAAGTGCTCAGCATCCAGGAGACTCCACTCTGATAAATAGGGCCAAATTTCCATAACACAATACAAAACATGTTCATACTGGATAGGAGCTCATCTGAGTTGCACCTTGGTCTTCCTTGTTTTCTGCCAGTGGCCCACATTTTGTTTTTTTGTACTGAAATACTAGACCTAACCTAGGTCATTGGGTTTGTTATAAGGTATTTGGCTGACGTATGATGGCTGATGATGTACAGCAGGAGGTCAGACTAGATGTTCTAAATCAGTGGTCTCCAACCTTTTTAAGTAGGAAATCACCTTTGGCATTTAAAAGCAACCCAAGATCTACCGTGTGCCGCTACCACTTCCATCCCCCCACTCCACCCAGCAGGTAAGTCTGGGGAGAGAAGGGGGGGTGCATATTGAGGCAGAGGGAGAAAAAATTATTTGAGGGTGCACCTCCCCAGCAGGTAAGTCCCACCTGGCTGGGGCCCCACTCAACTTACCCCTGCTCCTGCCTCTGTGGCACTGTCCCTCACTGTGGGGGCCTCAATCTAGCCCCTGCCCTTTCCCTGCCCTATGGACTGACCTGCTGGGCTGGGCTGGGGCATGCATGTGCATGCACGTGGGCACTCAGCTCCCCCCCAATGGAGCCTTGGATCAACTCCAAGAAGCTCCAAGATCTGCTGGTGGATCGAGACCCACTGGTTGGTGACCGCTGATTTAAATGGTCTCACCTTGTCTTAATATCTACAAAACCATGACCACCCTCTCAGCCTATTAAGGGGACTCTGTTACTTGCTGCATGGTCAAATAAGTCCAATATTTGCCCTGACCTGTGGGTTGCTGCCCTTTCATAATAAACATCCTCCTGTGTTTTTGTATAGGTCTCCCATATTAACTTGAAAGACAAGGTGTCATCATGGAGTCCAGCCACTCCTGTTGCTTCTGTAGGCTAGCTCTTGACACCTCTTCACTGATGGCTGAAGTTGCAGGAGGTCAAGTAGCTTCCTTTTGGTTATAGTGACTGCTCCCAGATCAGATGAAAGCCTTGGTGAAATCTATTTGATAGTCTAACAGCACAAAGCTAGGAAGCAGCCTGTCCCGTCAGGAATGGCTACATGCAAAATGAGGGATTCTTAGAACACCAGGACTCAGGGTTTAAACCAAATTGTAAAGCTTGGATTCAGGGAATAGGCTTTGAGAGTTGATTCACAGTTCCTCTGTGCTGGTGCTCAGGCCAGGACAGACTAGGAACACAAGTGGCTAATATAAACTGCCTGGGGAACTACCTGTACCTTGGGAGCAGGAAAACACTAGGGTCTAGGTCACAAGAGCCATACAGTTCTCAGTGTGCAGTAGTAGGGCCATCCCCTTCAAATCAGAAGACTTAAAATCTTTACTCTTGTAGTCCTGGAGGATCTGCCTAGCACTGGCTTGTCCCCTCTCCTAGCAGGGAAGGTACAAGCATGAATGACTAATACCTCCTGAGGCTGGGGGGGCACAGTGACTGCCTGCAGGTGGCTGTGTTGGCAGCAGGGATGTGGCGGCAGCAAGTGGGGACCGCCCACAGGCGGCTGCGGCAGTGTTGGTGGCAAGGGGCAGGGGGTGGTGAGCAACAACTGCCCTCAGATGCCAGTGGCAGTGTTGTCGGCAGTAAATCTTAGCTGGGGGGCACATGCCCCCCCTACGCATCCTGTATGGGTACAGGTCTGAGGTTCTCAAGCTAACCATTCTCTGTTTTTGTCAGGACAGTAGTGAGGCAGCAGAAGGAGCTGGCACATGGGATGAAGAGGTCACCAAGTGGTGGGGGGAATGGAGCTCCTGGTCCACATGCTCCCGCACCTGCGGGGGAGGAGTGATGTCCCGGGAGAGGCACTGCTTGCAACAAAGGTAAGCAGTTTAACAGCACCAGCAAATACCAGTGCTACTGACGCAAATGAAACCTTCGCTGATCGGTTGTTTAGGGGCTAAGTTACAGGTAATGTGTGATGAGAGGGAGGCTTCATTTACCAACAGCCAAACTAGTGAGTTTTGCCTTTGCTGTTGAACATCTGAATTATTTCAAGTTCTGAAGTGGTGACTGATATCTCTCTCGTTCCCTTAAACCACCAAATATTCAAAGTGACAGTAACAATCCAATATTTGTGGATCTGAAACAGCTGTAGCCAAACACTAGCATATTTCTTTGTCCTAATGAGCTCACTAGCAACCAGACTCAAAGCCTCTCAACAGATGTTTGAAGGGTGAAAGAAAGATCATTCTCTTCAAGCTCCCAAGGAAGTCCAGTGTTCTCAGAACAGCAATGGTTGGTACAAGCAGGTCTTTCTCTGCACCTAAGCAGCAACCAGTATTAGTGTGATGATTACCACTTTGCTTGATTGGGAACTTAACTGAGGACTTCTGGAGTTAAAAATATAAGCCTTTATAGTTTGAGCAAAAAATCACATAGCTGGGAGCTATAATACACTCAAATCCTCAGTACATTGAGCACAGAAAAAGGCCTCCATTTATAGTAGGCAAATGGACAAATCCAGGAATAACCAAGCATACTGGGCTGTGCAGTTATTCATATACTACAGTCCCCTCTTCCTTCCCCTTCTTTGCATCTATGTGATGTGAGGAGAAGTGTGTATCCTGCACAAAGTGAAAAATAATCAGAAGATAAGTTAGTGTGGAGAGGGCATGCCCTGACTTGGCACCCGGTGGGCCTATAAAATGTGCATAATTTATACTGGTTTGATAATTCTCTGGGGAGCAACTTCAGCCTGAGCATAAGCTATTGCAATTCAGCAGTTTATTTGATTTATATGCCTTTCTTCCCAAAAATGGCTCAGGGTGGCTTGCAAGAAAAATAATTTGCCAATAAAAACAATCCAGCATTTATGTCTGAGCTGGATCTTTCTTTGTGAGTGTTAGGCATGATGGAACTGACTTTATCTTATATTGCCCTTCACTTGGCAAACCCTGAAATGCCAAATCATGCCAGCTGCACTGTTTCACTGCAGTGACTTACACTGATCTATTCCCAATGTGTAACCTACTTGATTACTTATGACACTGCCAAGTTAGGCTCTTGTACACATGACGTGGGTTTAGTCCTTCAGTTTGCATTCTTTGCTGCCTAAATTGAAACAATGAGTTTTTAATTGAAACTTCACCATTTCAGTTTCTGTCACTGCATATATGTGGTTGTCCTGGCAGCCACAGGCGCCTGCTGAAGGCAGAAGTGGCAAGGGGCCCGATCCTTTTTTTTTTTTTTTTTT